CTATCCTTATTTTGCATATGTACCTCACCTTGTAGAACTTCTCAAGCTCTTTCAGAAGACCTCATTTTAATGACACGTTTATAGTAGAAAAATCTAAATTGTTGATGACGTTCGGAAAATTATAGTAACGTACGGCAGTGACTGGGCGATCCGCTGCTTCGCAACGTTTTGAGGATTATATTTCCGAATGAAACAAGTCTTTGTTTAGTCCCCAAATTATTGTTCTGAGTGTGGAAAGCAATTCACAGACAGATACACTGTAGCACTTTAAGTGAATTTCTATATATGCAATTGCGTAGGTGCAATTGGAGTACAGGAATACATTTTAGTGATACAAACTCAAAGTCACACCATTTATTTTACCATTAAAAGCACTCTTGAACGTCAAACAAAATAACTAAATATAAGCAGTTCAAAGTGTCTGTCTGTCCTCTAGTGAAAGTATTTGCTCGTTATTATGGAGACTAATTGCATTCCTATAGAGAAGAAAGAGTGAGAACTCCATCCTTTTCAACCAGTTTTTCAATTCAATTCGTTATTAAGTCACTTCTGTATGTGCGCACGGTGTAACACCAATATTTAGTCAAAGAATCCGAAATAGAAAATGACCTCAACCTCGTTAAAATAGGAAGTTACAGCAAATACGGATTATAAGATAATGATATAATTTATCCCAATAAATGAATGTGCTGTAATTAAAAAGGAATTATTTTTATCAATGAATATTACAGATAATAGAATATCTATAGATTAAGTAGAAATAATCTATTCACTAATCGATAATATTAATTTAGACTTTATTCACTGTTTCGCTCTCATAATTAAATCTTTACTTTCGTTAAAAAGATAAAGAAACTTTATTTGTTATCATCAATTAGGTACTCTATTGTAGGCTACTAGTTGACACTCCAGCTAAAATATAACCGGTGTTAGGGTTTGAAAGCAAGACACTTATTTACTTAAATAGTTACGATCTAGAAAAGAGTACACGAAAAAAGATATTACAAGTATTATTTAAAACTAAACACAAAATATATAACAATTAGGGTAACAATCGATAAAATACATATTATACAAATAATATTTTTTTTTCTATTTTGAGATATATTTAGAATACAGCTCAGCTCAACGCTGAATCTTACATAGTTTCAGTTTCTGTACAGGTAAAATAAATGTAAATTAATAAAAAGGAAGCAACTACTTTTTTGCTTGACGTTCAAAAGTGCCTTTTGTGGTCTACTTGAAATAAAGAATTTGATTTGATCTCATACTTTTAATTATCTACTCAAAGAAGTAGAGTAAAATTATGATTTGCTGTCCGTCTTTTATTATCGAATCTTTCATAATTTATGCCACTGAGCTCGATCTGTCAGCTCTATGCATTTCTTTCATTTTTATTCAGGCGTTGTTTCTCGAAATGAAATGTCGAAAACATAAAGTACGTGCACATTTTCTCAATATGTGTTGTGTTCAAAGAACTGCACAACATGATGGGATGGGATATTTATCTACATTGTCCTCCTTTAAATAAATTGAGAGTTTTAAATTAATTGATCAATACATTTATTTAAAACTTTATAGTTACAAATGTAACTATTTAATAATTAACTTAAAGTAGTTTAAAACAAAAATAAAACTACACGTTTCTGCACTTAACTGTTTGATATATTAAGCGCCTGGTTCATTATGTCTGTAAATATAGCCACTACGTTTCGGATAAATTTGAATACGGGACGTAATTAGTTTGATTTATGTGCCAAATAAGTTTATTGGTCACAGTTGGAGGAATAGGCTTTAAAACACTCAAAAAACTACTAAACTAAATTTAATGTTAATCAATCAGTGTGTCTGCTTATCAAATTGGATTTGATTTTCTTTTAAAAAAAGCAAACTCAAAATCACTCTGATATACTGTAACTAAGTTATAATTTACATTAACAAACTTATTTAAACAATGAAAGCTTAAGTATTGTTTTAGTTACACAAATGCATGGCTCCCTAGAGTGTGCCTAGTGTATCCACATCAAGCAGTAGACGACCTTAGTTGATTTATTTTTTTCGTATGTCGGTTGCTATCCGACAAGGATTGCTTGTGTAAATTAGTACGAATAGAATTCGTGTGTTATATATGTATAATACACATCCTTAAATGTAAAGTCTACATTTTGGAACGAGCACCTACATAGCTTCACTGAAGGACAATTCAAATTTCAAAAGATAATGGAATAATGGAAACAGATGCTTTGACTTTGACTTTATTACTGACTGTTATTTATATAATAGATATTATTGAGTATTTTTTTATTTATTTATTTAATCATGAACAATTTACATTGTATTTGATGTCAGTATATGATAAAAATTTGCATGCAATGTAATAAAAATAACAGAAAAAATGATTCGTTTCTCATTGAGTAGTAATAAGTTTTAGTTTGAAAATTAGAATATTATTTTTATACTATGCTTTTCCAAATAAGAGCTTTACCTAAAAGACAGAGTTTCTGAAAGCTTCAGTCGCCGTTAAAACCTAGTTCATGCCGTGAGACTGATTAACGCTAATCTAATCAAAGCTGCTAAATCTCTTGACAAGCGCAAATCAATTGGCGCTTGTCAAGAGGAGCGAAGCGCTAGAAGCGCGATTTTATTTAGCTTTATATACTCGTAGAAGAGTTGTAGCGATGACAGGGTTGCGTAGAATGTCGATTCAATAACAAAGTTCAACTGTTATGTATTTACTTAGACGCTGTATAATTTTTTTAGAAAACCACGACCACGTCACTCTTTCGTCTCTCTTTTAGGGTAAGGGCATATCAAGTTGTGTTCAGTTTATAACTTGGACTGTATACGAGATATCATATTCTTTTTACTGTGCAAACTACGTCAGCGGTAGTAGTAGCTATCTTGATAATATTTTTTATAAAAATGATCTTGGTTGGTTGTTTTATAACAATAATTCAGAGAAATATTTATAGCATGACCGTACTCTTATTATTTAAATTGGACTATAATATTTTACTATCCGGATTCATATATGTGACCTGCCGTGTGATGAATTAGCGATTGTAGTCTTAATTAATAACGATTTTATTCAAAAACAACTAATTTAACATCTATAGTCAGACTTTTAATTCGATACCTGATTTGACATTGACCACTGTCATTTTGTGAAATAATGATACCACATATAACAGTGCCTATAGTGATAAACACAAAAATCGATAAACAATCAGTAAATCAGTTTCAGGAAGGCATTCAAAAAATTACGGCTACCGAATGGTCTAAATGTGTATCCCATGTTTTCAAAGAGGAGGAAAAAATTAGTAAGCTAGATATGTTAATTGACAATAAATATCACAGACACAATTCATAATAAATGTTACATAGAGTAACGGCGATAGCGATAGCGATGACGGCGACAATTTATAAAATGTCTGTTTTATTTGTCACGTTCCTTCATGATCGCATTTTTTATTAATTTCACACAAAATTACAAAAGAAAAGTCTCAGATCGTTAATTAATTGTCAAAACTAAATTATCGGTTCAGAAATATTTTATTTCCTGATAAACTTAGTTTACGAGAGTAAATTTATAAACGAGAGGAATCGATTCAGAAATATTCGATTTCCATATCGAATAATTTCGCAACGTCACTATTTATTACGTGTCAACACTGAAATTGTCAAATCTGGAATGGAATTAAAATTCCGAGTATAAATAAAATTAGATACATACTTTTTTATTTTATCTGCACGGTTGGCGCGGTGGCTGGGCAACTGGCTGCTACGCAACGTGTCGGCTTCGATTCCCGCACGGCACAACTCTTTGTGTGGTCCACAAATTGTTGTTCTGGGTCTGGGTGTGATGTGTATGTGAATTTGTATGTTTGTAAACGCACTAACGACACAGGAGAAAATCTTAGAGCAGGGCAACGCTTATATATAAAAAAATACCATATAAATTAATGAATTTTGTATTGTGTCAAAGTCGAATAGTGAGGCATTTGTTTATTTTTATATACATATTTAAGTTATAAATAATATGCTTTCCATATTTTCTTGAAATGTATCTTAACTAAACTAACTTTACCTTCTTTAAATTCGACTAACATTAAATGATCAAATATGGCTCAAATAACCACACATTGTCGAGTTTTTGACTAACATTTAACTTTTAAAACTACCATGTCATATTTAACTAAAATATCTAGACTAGATGACCGTAACATTTTTTTATTCTCCTTCGTATGTCGATAGAACCCAGTCCTTTGAGTGTGTCTTACAAATTTTCTCTTAAAAAACAACGTAATTGAGACCTTCTATAGAGAGATTCCTATAGAGCTAGTTACTTTATAATGATAATTTATGCAACGAATGTAGCAGCTATAAAATTATACTGGGCATCCTGGTCTTGGAGCGGGCAATAATAAAACTATCATTTGCTATTATAAGATTGAATCCTTGAATCCACTATTTACTATAACCATGAAAGTGCTGAAGTACGCAAATGAAAGTAAATATACCTATTAAACTACATATGTACAAGTACATATTAAACATGAGTGTATAATTAAAAAAATAGTATAAAATAATATGTATTATCAGATATGTATCATCGTGCGTTGCCTATTTAATTTGTGCCGGTCCTTGGTTATTAATTGGTTAATGTAAATATGACTCGTTTCAATATAATTACATGATGGTTTATTATCAGTTTTGGACCCTAGGGTCTCTAGTTTGTTTAAATTTAATCGAAATATTTCTAAAACTAAGTCCATTACGGAATTACTTCTTCTTTTTATTGTTTGATAGAAAACAAATATTATTGACCCCTGATAAACCAAGCACCATTTAAATGATCTAAAGATGGCATCTAATTAAACATTGAAGTCACTTAAAGATTTTGTAAATAATTGTTTTCTGAAAATGCGCTTATTCAGAGTTCCTCGAATCGATAAATACTTGGTGAGCCTATTGCAAAGGTTTTTATTTCTTTGTTACAGCCCTGAAGATATTTTCACTATGAATAGCGAAGACGAACCGTTATCGTCATTAAATCAACGACTACGTCCTAGGAGGCGAACATGCAGTCCCACAAATAAAAACGTTAGGAAAAGTGAAGGCAAAGTCACTTTGGAGAGACCTAAGAGGACAAACACTCCGTCTAAGTCTTTGCCTAATAAACAAGATGATCTCGACAAGTCTGATACTATTTCTTCTTCTTCGTATTTTCTTTGCCCCTACTGCGATAGAAAATTTACTTCAAAACAAACTGTTTCCAAACATGCACGACGCATGCATTTGTCGAGTTCAAAACAAGACTTTTTTATTGCCTGTATCTTCTGTAACCACACCGAAGCTGAGGCCAATGACATCATTCGGCATATGATCGATAGTCATCCCAATCAATACTTTACTTGTATAGATTGTCAAACGCGGTTTGCATCACCTGCAGAACTCTCAGAGCATAAGTTGACCGTTTGTGAGAAACAAAAGCCTTATCGCAGCAAACTGCGCCAGAAGAATATACGGGCCTTGAAAAAATGTCAAAAAGATGCCAATGACGACAGACAAATTGATTTTCAAAGAGATAAAGAAGTAATTGAAACTCATGGGTTTAATGGAATTGTTATTTCTTGTGAACCATCTCATGTACACGATGAAGCTGATATTGAAGATAATATCACAACTAACCTAATTTTACCACCCAGTAAGTCTATTGGCAACAGTACAGTTATTGAGAAAAATGCAGTTATTGTTTTAGATGACATACAATGGAATAAACGAATACCACCAAATTTTTCTTTCCATAACACCGATGCGGATCAAATTCTTTCGAGGTTAGGTGTTGTGCACCGATCGCCAAGGACGGGCGAATCGACTAGAAAAGATTGGGTTAAAACAAGTGACGATGCAACCCAAAAATTCGAAAAATGTTTTGAAACCAGCTTCTACTCAAAAGTCGCGAGTAATGTCGCCGAAAATTTAGCAAAATGTCTTGACGGTTCATTTAACTTTAATCCGGATTTGGAAAACACAATTAAAACAAGAAAATCTAAAAATAGTGTTGTTATCAATACTGCAGAAGGTTTTCCTATACTATTAGCTTATGAACAATATTCCCGCAACATTTTTGAAAACTACTTACCCAGATCTATTGCGCCTAAACACAAATGGAAGTGGGATAGTCCAGAAGTAGATAAATGTTTCATTAATGCAGATCAAATGAAGCGAGATTCTCATGCAAATAAATGCATTATTACGTTGGTTTCAAGTCTGGATATATGGACCCAATTAAGTATGCGCAAAAAATATGACAAACAATTGAATATTTCCCATTTAGAGAAGAAGACTGAAAAACAAAACATTATTGATAAAGAACTGAAAGAGATACTGGAAAGTAGAGAACTACCAACGTCATCTACACAACTTACAAAATACACAAACGTAATAGGCACTCCTGTAAGAGAAGATCTTGAATTTCCTAATTTTCTAGGTTTAACTCAAACAGCACCGACTTATAATTTAGAACCTGCGGTTCTTAGTGGAGAATGGGTAAGACCCAGATGTTATGTATGTTGCGCATGTGGTGCCCAAACTCGAGATTCTAAGGCACTCTCGTCTCATATATCAATGCATCATCCTAATGCACAAGTACAGCATTACGAAATAGTCGGAGAACCATTACTAAACGCTGACATCTTAAAGCATTTGTACGTACCGCCAAGCCAGGTGTGCAATAGAACCCGCCCTTTGAGAGGTTTTAGAGACTGCACTAAGTGTAAAAAGTCGGTAAGTTTAAAAGACTTACATCAACATATGCTGGATTGTGCCGGCGATACGCCAGCAGTACGCCGAAAATGCCGATATCGGCCTTTTGGAGTACGCAGAAGACGACCTCGTCTACCAGACAATGTTATCAGGAGAAAAATACGAAAAGATTTAAGGAATCGTCACAAACAAAAGAGTCACATGAGACCCCGGCAGAAAATAAGGAGCGAAGTTGGCGATGGTAAGTATTTTATTCTATTCAATTATGTATTAATACTTTTGTCGTTTTATCACGAAAATGCAACGGAATTTCATGTATGCTAAATGTTTCTTTGAAAGTATCAAAAATAAGTAATATAATCTTAATTATGTTGACTTGCCAAACTAAGTTACATTTTTGATAGAAGAATAATTTGTTTTCCTTGATTATTTTTTACCAAGACCGCGTATTATCGTTTTGTAAGGAGCCGTTTTATACTATATACCTAGTGATAACTTGCGAACTTTATTTCTAGCCGAGACAATCCGGAAAATGATTGCAGACCTGCCCGCAAAACGTCATCGGGTAATGATTAATCCCCTAAATCCTTCATTGCGACCTCGTCGAAAACTCGACAAACAAAGAAGTAAGCTTTTAATTAAACATTGTTCATCAGATGATTCGATTACTCGGAAACTAAGATCCTTAAAAGAACTAAATAATTCTTCAAGTTCTTTTAACATACCTACAAACAAAGAAGAAATTATCAAGAATGTTAATAAGAAAGATATTGATGATGACAAAACCTCTAAACCCAGCGACGAGGATAAGTTTCTCAGACCAATCAGACGAGCTGCTGATAAAAATACCCGCCATTCTGAAACTTTAAAAAGGAAAGTTGTGCTTAATCGCGCTAAAAGAAAAATTCAAATAAAGGGTATGAGCTCAGGCAAACAACCAATGAGCTCAGGCAAGAAATCCATGAACTCGAACAAGCAATCCGTGAGTTCAGGAAAACAGGCTACGAACTTGATCAATCAGTCTAGCTCGGGAAATTCAATTACGAGGTCTGGAAACCAATCTACTAACGCAAGCAAACAGTCTACGAGCTCGAGTAATCCACCTACGGCTTCGGGTAACCAGTCTAAAACTTTTGAAAATCCAGATCTGTCTGACAAACAAACAGACGGTGACTCAAATGATGGGAATGATTCATCAAGTGATGACTTTCTCAAAAATAATACACCTAAAAAAGTTGATATAAATAACAGTCAGTTTAGTTCGAGACAGAATTCTGGGCGTGGTGGTAATTACAACCGAGGAAATAATAACAACCGGGGAAATCATAGTAGAGAAAATTATAATCGCTCGAATAATCATAGAGGTAACAACAATCGAGGAAACTATGACAGAGGTAACAACAGTCGCGAAAACTATGATCGCGGGAATGATAACCAAGGAAACGACAACCAAAGAAACCATAATCGCGGAAGTAGTCGAGGTGGAAAAGAAAAAAACTCAGAGGAGGACGATGGCGACCCCTCAACAGACAATGATCCGAACGATCTAAATTATTCAGTCGCATCTTCAACAGATCGTGACAGTGAAGGGACGTCCCTTCAAACCTACCAAGGACTTTTTCGTCCCGACGATTATAGTGACGAGGTCCAAGACTTGTCTATGAGTCAAGGCGATGAATCTGAAACATATGAAAAGGCTGCCTTATCGTGTGGCAAATTAGCCCTGGAGAAATCCAGGGGTAATAAAACACGAAAAGGCCTTAATGCCTGTATCGCGATGTTGAAGAACAAACTTGAAGACCCCACTATAAATGTTGACTCTATTGATAATGACGAACCAGTTGCCGGTCCATCTGGTTATTCTGTAACCAACCGGCTTAATCATGTACCGGACACAGATGCACGTACGCAAGCAGTTGCTCAACTTGCTACTAGACGTGATCATCCAAACGTGCATCCATTAATTCTGCCACTTGCTCATCAAGTTGAAAACCACCAAAATGCAGAATTTTTATCTAATAATTTACATGCACCACCAATATCTCATCTACCTACACGGACGGCGGCTCAACCAACATTACATTCAGCTGAATATTTAGCTCTTAATGCGGCTGAAGCCATTGCCGCAACACATGCTGCACTCACAACTACACATACGGCCTCACACGCGGCTGTCTCACATTCAGCCGCTCATTTAGTAGCTCCTCCAACTGCACTGGCTATGCCTCATCCTGTGGTGCATCCATCGGCTTATCCTGCAGTACAACTAGCTGCTACTCATGCAGTAGTGCATCACGCAAACCAGTTGGGTGTGCCGTATAGAAGTGACAACTTTATCGATCCAAATCCTCGATTCTTTTTGCAACCTACATTTGATCGCAAAATAGACCCGAATCCGGCGGAAGTATTTTCCCGGTCTGTAATACCCATAGACAGAGTTGATTTCCATTATCAAAGCAACCTGCCGCAACACATATCAATCGAACAAGTAGCACATGGTTTAGCTTTGTGTAAAGAAACTCTTGCGACTTCATCCAAAGATAGCAGTGGTAGCTACAGGGGAAGACAAAGAAAATCTTCAGTTGGCAGTGGACAGCCTAAGAAAACACCTGTGAAAAGGAAGTCAACTCGTGTGAGATCAAACGCGCAACCCACCAATATTCCACAAAAATTGTTTGGTTTGCCCTCACAGATTGAAGTCATCCCTCAAACATCTATTGGAGTGCCGCTCCAAAATCCTCCCCATTTAGTCCTACAAATTCCTGAGGAATATCCTAATAAAAGCCCGGAAAGTGAAAAACGCACAAAACGAAAGCAAAGTAACAATCAAAATGAACCACATCAACCAAAACCTACGAATTTCTTTAAAGAATCTAAATCCCCCGGTAGAGCAGAATATCATCATACTTATGATATGTCCGGTGGGCGTCTCATTGAGAACAAATCTTATCAACTCCCAGTAGTTAGTGAACAAAATTCAATAATTGAACAACGTACCTTGTCTGAGCAGAGATCGGCGTCTGACCTGAGATCACAAGAAGACCGAAGAACAGATCAGATACCATTTTCAGATCAGAGATCCTTATCTGACTATAGGGCGCACAATGAACATAGATCGCAACCAACCGATCGTATCTCTTTACCAGATCCAGTAACATTAGCAGAACAGATGTCATTGTTCGAACAAAGACCTTTCCGTGATCCAAGATCATATGCGGAACAGACGTTACCAGAACGGAGGACTTTTTCAGGAAATTTTACAGAGCACAGACCATACTCAGATTTGAGGTCGCATGTTGATCACAGCATTTACCAAGACCATGGATCTCATTCAGATCCAAGAACATACACTGAACAGTTACCATTCTCGGAACAAATATCATATAACAATTTGAGGTCGATACCGGATCCGAGACAGCACGTAGACCCTAGGTCGCTTTCAGAACAGATAGCGTTTGCAGACCAAAGATATCAAGATCGAAGGTTATATTCTGGAGAAAGAACTTACCCTGACTCAATTTTATGTCCAGATATTAGAACCTTTTCAGAACATAGGCCTCCACCTGATGAAAGGCTGTACTCGGAACAACAACTAACATATGCGGATCACAGAGTGTTAACAGACCAAAATATAGAGCAGCAACCGACGAATGAACAAATGTTGCCACCAGAACAAAGACCATGTAAAAGAAGATCTTCAAAGAAAATTAAAACCGTTTCTGATCGCAGGGTATCAAGTGAACTTTGGCCTGCCTATGAACTTAGGTCGTCAAACGACAATTTATCAATGCAAGAACATGCTACGAATGATTTAAGGTTATCGAATGACCAATCTGTGTCTAGAGCACAGGGAACATCTATGGATCGCCGTACATCTGCGGAACATCTACTCTCTGTCGAACGCCGTGTCTCTGATGACCGTCTATCTGGAGAGCATCGGCTTTCCACTGAACGTAGGGTTTCATTTGAACGTGGACCTTCTTCGGAAAGGAGATCTTCGTTTGATCGAGGATCACCATCGGAACGCAGGGGTTCATTTGAACGTAGACCATCTTTTGAACGTAGATCTTCATTTGAGCGCAGACCATCATTTGAACGCGGCCCTTCATTTGAGCGTGGCCCTACATTTGAGCGCGAACGCGGACCCTCATTTGAGCGCGAGCGCGGACCCTCATTTGAGCGCGGCCCTCCATTTGAACGCGGCCCTTCATTTGAACGAGGCCCTTCATTTGAACGAGGTCCTTCCTTTGAACGATGTCCTTCCTTTGAACGTCGGTCCTCATTTGAACGACCACCTTCCCACGAGCAGCGTCACTCAACTGAACGTAGAGTTTCCAACGATCGAAGGCTATCTAATGACAAGTACACAAATGAAACTGCATTCTCATCAGATCTAACGAGGCCAAGTGGGCATAGGAACGCTGGTAGTGAAATATTTACCAAAGAAAATGCATTAAGCGAACAAAGTCATGATCAATGGCCACCTAGAAACCGCGACATAATACCGGAACAAATTTCAGAAAACGAACGTACTAACCACTATTTGGAGCGATCGATCGACGATCAGAGATTAAACGAAAGAAGAGCCTCTGAACATAGATCATCAATGGAACAAAAATTAATATCGGAACAGGAACATGCTATTCAAAATAACTCATTACGTGAGTACAATAATGAAACAACCTCACGTCCGGATGTTTATCAAGGAACGCACTATTCTAACACTAATGTGCAATCTGATGGTGATGGATCACAAAAGGGTCCGGAAGAAGAGGACACCGACATACCACCTACTCAGCCTTTAGATCTATCTGGAAGAGCAATATCTACAGAACGATCTTCAAATTTATTGAACTATCGAAGCGACGGCACTTTGGATTTGTCGAAAAAGAAAACAGATAGTCCAGTTGATGAAAATGTTGTTGTTGACTTACGCGTTAAAGCTTCTGATCAGACAGAATCCGAAGCATCTGTAGATGATAATGCTACTGATTTGACTGTTCCCAAGGATTTATCACTCAAGAGAATGAGTAAACAAATATCAACAGATAAAAATGAAAAATTAGCTTATGGTAATCAAGGTTTGTCAAACAAAGATGCTACGGTTAGAGAATCTACGGATACTATAAGAGAAATTGAACCCGTTATAGATTTTCCTACAGACTTGTCCACTAGGAGTTCAAATTCTGAAATTCTTGAAGCGCCGGAGATTAAAAATGTTTCCGTTTCGATAGATTTAACAGCCGATGATGAAAGTATCGTTGATGTATTAAGTACTGAAGACACTAAAACACCTATGGATAGCTCGGTTAATATGAAAACGAATTCAACGCTTGCCGCAGATATGAGTTATAACGAACAATATACAATAAGTTCTAATGAAAATGGAATTTCGCACACGGCCAATCTAATGAATGTTAACGATGCCAGACGTGCAATAGTTTCAACACATTCAGAATCTCAACCTATTCGTACTTTCCATAGCACACAAAATGACGGAGAAATAATGCCATCGTCGAAAGATTCATTTACAACATTGCCGGTTTACGCAGTACCAAATCCTGTTATGACAACATCAGTAAATAAACAGGAGGGTGCAGCTACGATAAATAATTCGAATAATGCTGTTGATTGTACTGAAGTAAAAATACCGGATTACTCTTTAGTTAATTCTGATAGTCGAGTTGCATTGAATTATGGTGCTACCGCAAGTAATAGCTCAATAACAGGATCAGTACCCACAAGTAGTTACCCACAAGCATCGGCTTCAGCAGAACCCAACAAAAGTAGTGTCGATAAAAAAAGTAGCGCTGATTCTGATAAAAAAGTTGTTACCGAAACTCAGGACCCCGAGATTGCTAAGAAAATAGCAATGTTGCCTAAAGAATTAGTAGAAATATTAGGAAATATGCCTGCTGATCATAGGAACCAGCTCCTTAACGTACTTCCACAATATGTTTCTACTTCGACGGCAACCACAAGAAATAATTGTGAGAATATGGGTATAAATGTTATGCAGACAAATGTACAACAACCATCAGCTAATCGAGAAATTACTAATAACATGCATACTTTTATTCCGAACTATCATTTGCCGACAAATATGCATTGTACCTCTCAATTCATGAGAGCGTTTAACATCGAAAAAAGTCACCAATTGACTTATTTACAACCACCACCGCCGCCGCCGCCGCCTCCGCCGCCGCCACCACCGCCGCCACCGCTACCACAGCCGCCCCCACCACCACCAGCGGCACAACCACCGTTCCAGATACTGCCTCCCCCACCACCTCCCCCTCCTCCACTACCGCCGCCATCCATTGAAGTTAAATTACCGTCTTCACCACCGCCTATGAATGTTACATTGCAACCAGTACAAGTTGCGTCAAGTGCAGAACCAATACAGGAAATGTTTATTCCACCTTTACCACCGAATCCACCACCTCCATTGTTCCCACCTTTACCAGCAGTTGTTAAGACGGATGTGGATGGCCCAGAACAAGATATTAAACCTCTTATTGGGATGTTAAAGGTAAAAGAAGAAAAAGATATTGACGATAATAGTGATAACATACCACCACCACCTAGATCGGCAGTTCAACCAGAAAACGTAACTGTCAATGAAAATACGGATAACAGAAATAGGACAGTAGATTTGACTGAAGAAAGAAACTCGCTTGTAAACGAAGAGAGGTTGAAGTTAGCAGAAAACTTACTTAAATCAACAGTAACATCTACACAAGTAATAACTAACCCTGTTAATGTGATGACAACTCCAAAACCAAAAATTGTCAGTGACAAAACGGCTAGCTTAAGAGCTGTACGTATTAAAACTCCATCAGAACGCAAAAAATCGTCGTCAAATAGCGAAATTCGAGCTTCTTTACTTGCTAAATCAGCACAACAACATGAAATTTCGACAATTAGAGAGTCACCTAAAGAAATAGAAAAGCAGACAGTTGGAAATAAATCTATTAAATCAAGATTAGTTCAAAATGTCGCACAAGTTCCGGATGACAAAGATACTAAACATGTCGAATGTAATGTATCTCTACCTACACAACAAGGCGAAGAAAGTAATACTCGACAGAAAAAGGAATGTAGGTCAGCTGCCCCAGAACGGTCCTCAGCAAGATTAGCCGTAGAAACAAAATCTTTAACAGGAAATACTTGTAATAATAATGAATTAGAGAAACGTCAAACTATAAAAGACATAGCAAAAATAGATCACGGTTCTCAAAATGTCGATACTACTTTAAGTACAAGAAGTAACATATCTTCCACTCCACAACAAGATAACGAGGTTCGTTCCGAATGTCGCATTTTAGAAAGAACAGTTAACTTACAACTGTCGGATGATGCTCATTTATCAACCCATAAGCGAGAGAAAGCTGTTGTGTATCATAACTCACTTCAGAGCAGTTCTCCTGAAGGTGATCACATTTCCGTTGGCAAGCCCTCAGTTGATATTGACCATAATTTGACAACGGTAAAAAATGACACTATCGTTGATGAAGAAGATTCAGACGATGATGTTTCTCTTGCAGTAATTGTTAAAAATCGCGATCAAATGAAACATATATTGCAAAAATTGGAAAATGAATGTTCCATTTCAAATGAACATAATGATGTAGAAAAATTGAAAGAAAGTACAAATGATTTTAGCAGTAGCACAATATACAGCTCAAACTCAGATGCTACTGCTCATCAAAATCCACTCGGCGAGGAAAATGAGAAGGTAATTCTAAATAATAATGCGTCTTACTCTGCTCAACGTTTGACAAGCGAAATGGACCAGCAGAGCATAAAAATCAGTGTTTCACAAAATATTGAAAATGAACAGTTTAATCAACAACATCACGACCGCTTTGAAAATACAAAATGTAATGCAGAAGATACTCAAATTTTGGAAGACAGCCAATTAAAAATAAATGAAGTTGTAGATGAAAGTGTTGCACACGAAAGTATTGCTCTTAAACACACAGAAAAAGACAAGTCAAAGCGAATATCAAACGATGCTCGCGTTGAAAAAGGCAAACAAAAGAAAAAACACAAACGTAAATTATCTGCAAATAATGTCGGCAATAACCAGACTCCTGTAATGAAAGATGATTACTCTTCAAACAAGTTAAAGAATAGTTCAGATGTTCCAGATTTGGATAAAGTGCATGATTCTCAAGAATCAAATAAAAGTATTTCAAAAATTAGCAATAACGAAACTGTTCCTGTTGAGGATTTGTCATCTAATCTGAAAAATGTGTCTGATAACAATAACGAAGACACTTATGAAGAAAATAACAAAGAAGTTGAAAAAGACAAAGCCAATGATTTGCAACCGCTTTCTGAGGTAACGGAAAATAATTCAAAATCGCTAAGACGCAGTAGACGAGGAAAATCTGTGGTCGCTGAAGGCATGCTTATTGGACCTGAGAATTCTATTGAAACTGAAGCTGTCACGGAACAAAAGACACCCCTTACTAAGAAGCAACTTATTTTTTCTAAGTTGTTATTGGATGAAGAAATTCATACCGAGCCAAAAGCACACTCAACGCCTGAAAAAAATCTATCCAATACTGAGGAAGGTAACAATAGTCAAGAAAATAATAATCAGCTAATTATGGATACAAATGCACCCATAAGTGATAATTTAGAAAACACAGAAGCAAGTGGCTTAGAAAAAGGAAAAGAAACAAAAAGTAAGAAACCAATTAAATTAAAAAATATTTACAAGAAAAATAAATCACAAAGAAACTCTGAAAAACGTAAGAAAGGACATTCTCATAAGTCAAAGAAAATGCCCGAACTAAGAATCCGTTCTGAAAGTCCTATTTGCATTGATTATCCGCGAAACAGTCATCTTTCAGCAGAAGAACAGTTTGCTGAAACTGAGAATCAAATTTTACTTATTCAACAAGCCCGAGATGAATTAGAAAAAGCTAATGCTAGTGCTATTTTTTCGGGACCTACTACAAGCAAGGACTCATTAAGCACTTCTGGAGAGAAAAGAAAATTAGATATGATGACTACCGACGATTTTCGACAAAATCCAAAAACGAAGAAACTTAAATTTATTGAAAGTGATGCTAAAGATAATGAAAATAATATACCGGTGCCACAAGGAAAACGCACTACGTGTTATATGCAAGCTGCTTTGAGGAAGACCCGATCAAAATCTGTTGTTGTAAAATCTTCTACTGAATTATACGACCCATATGATATTGACCTAGATGATATGATTGAAAAACCGGAATTATTTAGAAGTGAAACAAGTGATAAAGATAATTCAGAAAATCAGAAAAATAATAAGAAATACAAAGGCAAACAATTAATATCTAGTAAAAGGCAAAATTGTTTTAAAAGGTCGAAACCTCAAAATGTTAGTAGTGATAATAAAACAACATCAGCACCCAAAGATGAAGTAGTTGATTCAGACGACTCCTCGAAAAGTGATGTTCCACTAAATAAATACATAGAAGAAAAAGAAAAGAAAGCACTACAATCAGGCAAAGTGTGTCCGAAACGAAATACCAATTTAGGAAAAGCTGGAAAACGGAGCTCAAGGTGCACTAAACTTAATAACGACAGCAAGAAATTCAGGCGAACTTCTTCCGATGATCTAGAAAAATCTGGAACATCAAATGACGTCGACGAACTTCGATCTGAACAATTCATGGAAAGTTTTGGTTTCTTTTCACAAAGAAAACCACGCAAGTCCAATTTATTGGCTTCTAAGAAAATATCTGAAACTTTTCACATCATTGCTAGTGAAAGCGACGATTCATGTCTTAGTCCTAAGAAAAAAACTAGCAGGCGCACGAATCAAAGCGAAACTAGAAAATCTGTATCCGGAGATGCCAGGACAAGAAAACTTGTAACAAACAAAAGAATTCTTAAAAAAGTACAAAGAATAAGAAAATCTGTGTTCCTGCCGCCCATACCATGCTTCTGTCGTCTGTGTAAAAAAGAATTCAGGCGGTCGGATAACTTCCTGCGACATCAAATGAACGTACTTCATGTGGCTAAATTGGCTGAAATAGAATTAAAAATGAGAACCAACCCTATATATGAAAAGCCAAATTATCTTATTGCATATAAACGGCAGCTAGATCGACTGAAATTAATGACAAAAAAATACGCTAATCAAAAAAATCACCCAAAATTAATAATGCCTACATTAGACAAGATTTTGGCTAAAGTAAATAAGAAAATCAGAGAGCAAAAACTAGCTCAAAGAGGACTTAGCAGGGACGAAGCACTTTTCATTGACTGTTGTCAATTATTAAAGTCTAATAAAACTGAGATCAAACCGACGGTGCCACCATCAGTTTCCCAACCAGTTGCCAATAACTTGCCTGAACCGATTGTCAAAGGATTTGATCTTTTAGAAAAACCGCTTAAAGGCGACGGCGATGTTGATTCGATTACAGCTAAAAATATATTAGAGAGCGATGAAGTGAAGAATTTGGAGAATGATTTAATTTCTGGTCTAAAGGAAGCTGCAAATGCCAATTCTAAGAAACCAAAAGTTGTGTTACAACGAAGTGTTAGCGATGTGGGATTAGATCAGAATGATTCTGGCCAGATAAGTTACTGTAGTCCTGAAATAGCTGGACCTAGTAATGCAAACCTTGTTCTGAATGATTTGAATACTTGTCCTGAATCCAAAGATAATGTTGTAAATGCCTGCCCTGAAGTCAATCCTAACAAGGAAACCAAAGATAATGATGAAAGTTCTTCTCTTATGGGCCATGTTAAAGATGAAAAAGCTAATCTAGAATTTCAACCTAATAATGAAAATCTTCATACCGAAACTAATCCAAATAATGAAATATTCAGCCCTGAGTATAATTCAAATGATAAAAATACTAATTCAGAACCCAATTGTGATGATCAAAAAACTTCAGAATCTGACCTACATGACGATAAACGCGATCCCGAAGCAAAACATAATGTTGAAGAGATTTATTCGGAACCTGAACCCAACGATGGAAGATCTTGTCCTGACATTAATGATGAAAAAGTTGTTTCTGAACTTCAAATTCATAACGAACAGCTTAGACCTGAATTTAATTCTAATCCTGATAATACTAGTCCAATGCCTAAAAATAATATTGAAAAATCTTGTCTAGAATCTGTTCCCAGCAAAGCTAAAAAGCAAGTTGAAGTTAAAGAAAAAATGTACCCCGATATCATTGATACCATAGACATGTTTGAAGACAAATTTGACAAGATAAAGAGAAAATGCAGATCTCAGGCGGCAGCTGCGAAGCAAACGCAAGCTGCTGCGATTGAAACGAATAACAGGTAAGTTTAAATGTTCAACTAACTCTTTGTAAATTCAAAATTTGCAAAAATTCGTTGTACAATTCTCTAACCATGTGTTTCTTCTTAACAGTTTCAAGTCTCGGAAGAAATCTGAAAAGAAGAGGACGCGCAAAAACTCGAAAAGAGGTCACCAGAGTTCTCAAGTCCTAACAAAAGGTGCCCTTAAAGGTTTCGACGGAATTAAGGTTTCTATACCGACTTCAGACATCAACATCTCTGGAATTGTTCCCACTCTTACGCCCTCACCAAAGAAGAAAAAGAAAGGTAGTTCAAAGAACAGAAAAGAAAAGACGTCCGATTCAAATTCGAAAAACGAAAGATATGCCGGAGATTGTTCTACTTCGAAGGAAGTTGACGTTTATGAGTTTTTAGATAATGAAGATGCAGTTTTTGAGTTTAGACCTTCAACTTTAATGGAAAGATTTAAAAATATAACTTACACGAATGATGGACCTAGTACATCGAAATTAAACTCAGGAGTGGATGCCGATAATTCTAGTGATAGTGCTTCAGATGGAGACGATTTCGTATACATGTCTGATGATTACGTGTGCAGCGACGATGAAACTGAAAACAGTTTGATGTCTTGTGAGATGAACAGTGGCAAAGTGGGCAACGATACAAAGAAAATTACGTCTCCCTTAAAAAGAAAAGATGCCTTAGAGAAAAATGCCGTTATGGGAAAGATTTTCAAACATAACGCAGTGCGTAGTGACAAAAAGAAAATCAAGGAGTCTGTTAAACCCAAGGCTAATTTAGACCAATTATTTGACAGTTTACTTGAGGATAAGCCAAAAACTTCTGACTTGTATGATGACGCACCAACTACCAAAGATGAAGATTTTGTGGCCCCAAATATACAAGATGTGTCTTACAAAATTGATAAATACAACCGAGGCACTTCGAACAGAGAAGAAACTACAAAACTAAAGAGTCCTTCACCCAAACATCACAGTCCGTTATCTCTTAAAGAATATGACAGTGCTTCTCTCATAGACTATAACTCTTCAACATCAAAGACAATCTCATCGGAGATGGGGCCCAGCACATCAAAAAAACGAGATGTGCCGAAAGATAATAAAGACCATTCACCCAAAAAGCATGAATCGAAACACGCATCTAGTAGATATAGCGAATCCCTGACTCCAAAAACCGATTTCATTACCGGAAAGCAACGTGATACAATAAAAGACAGATCATTTAAAGAAAAGTCTCCGACTAACAAATCAGACGAACGAATTAGCCCAAGTTATGACTATAATGCTGATGTTTACGAGCAAATCCAATACGATGATATGGGAGTGGCAAGACAGAGGGCGCGTCGTAAATGTACTGTAGGAAAACAAAATGTGCTGGCTGAAAGTTGGAGTTCGGAATCCGAGCCAGATGCTCTACCGCCACGTCCTAACAGCGCCGAGTCTGTTATCATGACCTCACGTAAAAAGAAAGGAAAGAAAAAAGATCACCATACCAGTGCAAAGCGTACGAACAATCGACATATATCATTTAAAAAGCGAGATGTCGAACATAAACTAAACAACAACAACCGTCACGGAAGTTACACAGGAACGAATCGAGCATACAATGAAAGCGACGATGCAGATAGGAGCACGGTGAATCCTTACGATGCGCCGACGCCATCGACATCAACAGCGCATACGCATCTGGGACCACCGACCGACCGACCAAGACCGCGACCCCGAACCACGGCGTACTACAACTGGTCTTCGGACGGGGACGACGAGCAAGAACATCAACAGCAGCATGGCTGGATAGTCGGAGATAGCCATAAAAAGTTAGTTACAATGCTCGCACACGCGAAAGGACGGAAGCGCAACAACGACGATAAACGTCATTTCGTCGAGTAAGGTTAGTTTCTTAGATTATATTAATCTTGTAAATATTATTGTAAATAAACTTCTTTTACCGATTGTCGATTTTACGGCATATGACCAGAAACTGGTAAAAGAAGGTCGTGTAAATATTGTATATCTCTATGAAATATTTTAGTTAAATTTTGAATGAACTGGTACTTTCAGATTTATATTATATTCACATTCAAGTCTATAAGTAGCCAAATTCGGGAACATTTAATTGTATTATTTAAAATAATTTCAAATCTTTGGGTACCGAAGAAGGGCATTTTTAGTTTCTTGATGATCCTCGGAGGTTGTCAGATCTTTGGTGTTTTTCTGTTAAGCCTAGCGTGGTTCTGCAATTAGAACATAAATAGTAGCAATGTCATTGGATACACATTTCTTATTTTTATTTACTTAAATGCTAGCAAAATCTTATATTTAAAATATTAATTTCTACTTTTACATTCGGAGTCCTCTTAAACTGTTATTTAAAGCAAAATAATTAGTAAGATTACTTGATTCTCTATCGAAACTATTAAAACCATATAAGTGTATCAATTTACTAAAAATGCCGCGTTCCGTTACATATTCACTGTAAGCAAGTAAATATAATTTTATGCAAAAATGCTTAGATGCATAATAACGATTTAATGTTCCTTTCATCAATTATTAGTAATTTTGATAGATGTATTTTATTTTGGAAATTATTATATAATTGATAATGGTATGTCTTATCGACTGAATGTCTTTGTTATGTAAAAGAGTTTATGTTTATGTCCATAGGGGCTGGTAAAGCGGTCTGAGTGATTTGTGTATCTTTGAGTTGCGTAAATTAATTTGTTAACTATTTTTATACATTAGATATTTTGAGTCGTCGAATGTTTTACACAATTGTGAAATCTCATGCATTAGTTATTGTTGTATCTAGTCCAATAAGGAAAGACTAATTGCCGCGTTATCAGCCTCAATACTATGTGATTTATTTTCCAATGTACGAGAAGACTTATAATTTTCATTATATAGATTATTCTTAACATGAAATTGACATTGGTCTGTGTTTCGGTTAGTAATTGAATAAATGATTATATTGGTTTCTTTTTTTTGAATAAATGTCATAGCTATTTTTATTTACTTAATTTTTTTTATATATTTTATTTTTTTTCCAGGATCAATTAGAATTCCTATTCTTATGCAAAATCGTTATCAATAATGATAAAGGATCGATCGATTGTCCTCATACACATTTATCGTAATTTTTTTGCAATACTCTCTTGTTTGCGGTGTGATGAAATGTTAAATGTTCCAAGTCGCTGCTTTAATTTTGATTTAACATTAATTATGTGCTGTTGAATATTTACGCATCTTAGTTTAAAATTATGACAATGTGTTTCAGGGCAATCACTGTTAGCCGTTATAATTGATGTCAAATACATAATTAATAATAATCGGTAGTTACATATTTTCCCCAATGTTCCAGTGTTTTCTTTGATTGATGTAATCCAAACAGAGCCGTACAACAATTGTGCATAGTTGAAATTATTAGTTATTATTCAGAATATTAATAAACCTACGTAGAAAATTATGTGTCTATTTCACAATCTCCCTTCATTAAAGCCTTTGTTAGACGTATTTTAGATTGTAGTAATATACTTATCCATTTATAATAACATAATAATCTTCTTTGAGGTTCTTTCTATCTGTGTCTAAATGAGTCTTGATAAGTAACTAGTCAGTAGGTATGTCAAATGTACCGAGATCTTAATTGCTAAAGTTGCTGGGAGATATGTGTAATAGTAATGAATTCACCATTAAATATCACTGAATTTTCATGTTATGTTAGCTTAGGCTGCCGTTATGATAAACAATAAAACATATCCCTGAAAGTACAAAAATCTTATTATTTGATCACCCCAGTTTGTTGATTTCATTTTTTATTTTGAAGAAACCAATTCTTTAATTTTGCCTTGAGATTGTGAACTCATTGGTTACTGCTTCGTCAAGCCACAAAATTCTGTGCAATATTAAAAAAGCAATAGGAGTTCCAACAGATTATACAGAGACAAGAGTATCTGACTTGATACCTAGAACGCTTGCCACATATCGTAAGTATCCTCAAAGGTTTCGGCAACAGAAACGAAGCCTCCAGCTGATCTGTGTTACTGCTATCATCATTGCAGACATCGCCCAGCTAGCTTCGCAGTACCTGGTTAAAAGTTATGTAAGCAAAACGTAAGTATATAGGTACCTATAAGTCTATAACTAGGTTTCTTAATCCAAAAAGTAGGTGAGTATATTGGTAAGAAAAACTATCCTGCTTTTCAAGCACCAGACACAGAGGGTTTAAAACCTGTCAAGTACAAATGTGCGTTTTTCTGAGTTGTATGTTCGTTCTAAGTGTATTTAGACACCACTGACAAATGGCGAAGGAAAATATCGTGAGAAACCCATTGATATACCTCTATGGACAAACGTGTCTTTTTCACGGGCGTTTCCTTTAGGGGCCTTTTAGGGCTGCCGTGCAACGTGTAGCGTGGGTTCGATTCCTACATGGAACAACTCTTTGTCTGATCCACAAATTGTTGTTCAGGGGCTGACAACGGGCCACGAAAAAGGAGAAGGGTTTATTTTGTGAATCATGTGATCCATTGCATATGACGTAAGTAGTACGTACGTACATATATAAGCGTCAGGGAACTATCCTCCTCACACCCCAGTCTCTACGAGAGCAAGAGATACTCCGGGTGACTGGGATAGAGCGACGATTTCTGCTGGTTACAAGTATACCTAGATACGTAGAGATTATATTGCTTCGCATTTGGTGTCTGGTGGCGAAGCCCGCCTATAACTAAGGCGACAACTGCAACTCTGCCAGCGAGATTCCCTTCAACTCTAATGGCGAAGGCATTAGCTGTGTATTGTCAGAAACGGCCCACTGGCTGCAAGGAGTCCGGCACAACGGCTCAGTAAGTTAGTCCTTGAGTAGTGTCACCAATCCCCTCGAGATTACTTGCTGACGGCAAATGAGATGTGGTTGGGGTGGCGAGGTGATCCGTCTAAGGGTCGCCCGTAAGCGGCAACAGCAGTGGCGCAGGCACAAAAGCGTTGCGGCCATGCTTCTCGCCCCAAAAACTGCGACTGAACGATATAGCAAAGGGCGTGGTGTACATCATCGGCTTTCTCAGCAAAGTAAGGGGCCGGCGCGGTAACACTCGAAGCATAGGAGCTCTGATGGCTTTAGACAGCGGTGGGTTTTGTTCGGAATTAGTCTGACATTCCCTGTTGCCTTACACAGATCAGGAGGCAAAGATTATTTTAATACACATAGCAAATAAAAAAAGAGAGTGTGGGAGAGCCAAGCTTCGGCACGAATGAGTAGCCTCGACCGGAGTGATACCACGGCCCCAAAGAAAACCGGCGTCCAACAACCGCTAGCGTTGTGTTTCGCCGTGTGAGTGAGGTTACCGGAGGCCCAATCTTTCCCACCCCCGATCCCTCCCCAATACCTTAATATCCAAAACCCTAATCTCTAAAAGGTCGGCAACGCACTCGTTACTCCTCCATTGCGGGTGTCCATGGGCGGCGCTGATTGCTTACCATCAGGTAAACCGACTGCTCGTTTGCCGACCTATTACATAAAAAATCTAAATTACTTGACATTAATACAAAGTCTGAATATTATGTTGATTCCACTGAGGAATAGGTGATCGACACCACCCTCAACCCTGTATTCAGGGTTGAGGGTGGTGTCGATCACTTGAAGGTGCCAAACTTAAACGTAGGTATAATGAAATGTCCACAGCACACAGCTGTCGGCTGGCTGTGGCTGGTCAGCACAATGACCATTCTAATTGCATACAAGTTGCTATTTGAATTTTAAAGACCTTTACCTATTAAAGATTGACATGCAAATTAGGGTGGACACGGGCAAATCCATGGGGCCAGTTGTTAGACGGTAATTATAATAAGGTATAGGGTTGCTTGCCCTCTAGGCATTATAGATTTTTAAATAGTCTAACAGTTACTTTGAAAGGAAGTCACGATAGACTGCTCCACCCTTCTTCAAAATATGTATAAGGAATAAGACGCTCCTTCTAAACGTTTGTCAACTACCGTACCTAGGTAAAAATCCAAGAAAGCCAATTTTTATGTTAGGATTGATTATTTTTTTTTAAAAGTAAACGTAACGTAAAGTGCCGTGGGGCGGTTACAAACATACAATTTCATATGCACATGACACCTAGACCTGGAACAACAATTTGTGGATCACACAGAGAGTTGTTCCTTCGAATCGAACCCGCGACACGTTGCACGGCAGCCAGTTGCCCTGCCGCCCACCGCACCAACCGTGCAGTCAAAATGCACGGTTGGTGCGGTGGCTGGATGTGCGCTGGAAAAAAGGATGTATCCAATTTTATTATCATTTTATGTAATTTGGTGTTAACAAGATAATAATTTGTTACGCCTTTTAGTCACTGCAGATGTAGGCAGTTATTTACTTATTCTACAGTGAACCTAGCTAGAGCATTCAACCAACTTATTGCCCTAATTAAGTCAGTCAAATGGAGCCAAGCTTCGGCTCGAGCCGAGTGATACCACGGCCTCACGGAACAGCGGCGTGAAACAACCACAGCGTTGTGTTTCGCCATGTGAGTGAAGTTATCGAATATCCAAATTTGTATCTCCCCAATCCCTTAATCTCAAAAACCCTTATCCACAAAAGGTCGGCAATATACCTACTCGTAACTCTTTCATTGTTGCAAATCTTACAAATCAAACAATGTTGTTGGAACTCTAAAATAAAACAAGTGAATGTGTACATATTATTATTATTATTTAATATCTTACATAACATTTATATAATATCTAGTTGGCAGGTTGAATTTCAGTTCGTGGTTGAGGTTGAGTTTCAGGTTCAGGTTGAGTATAAGGTTCAGGTACAGATTCTGTCTTTTTTATTGATTTCCTTACATAAAATGCTCTAACGGTCAGGCCGGTACCTAGCACCAGGACGAGACCACAAGCTGCTATCATGACTGGAATTAAGATGTCCACTAATCGGAGATTGTGTAGCAATCTGCCTGTCAGTTCTTCCACGAAATCATCAGGTAGAACTATAGACTGAAACAATAAAGTACAATTAATATTGCAGGTCACATAATGTACATTGGGGATACTTACAAAGTTGTATAAGCTAGATTAGAGAAAAACAGAAGGACGGATTTTTATAATATCATCACTAATAAATTAGTATCTAATATTAAACTTATATCCATGAATTCGTTTTACATGAACAGATAAATAAGGAGGTTTAGGTACCTATCGACGAGTATAACAAAACTATAGGTATGTTAAAATCGATAACTTAACGAATGCAAAAGTCTGTATAGTTATAATTGCATATGAAATAAGCCCCAAAAATGCCAAACACATGAAATGAATAAGTACAACAGTACTGTCTGTCTCATTACTAAGTCATAATGATAGTCTTGTAAACAATGCCAGGTGCAACAATTTCCCATAGCTGCGTTTAACTATGCAATATTTATAAGGCGCTGTAGTTAAACCCAACAATTAGACGGAATTCATTTTCTTTTAATAATAGGTTTGGTATAAAATGCACGATATTTTTTATTTATGAAAGAGTTTAGGGGCGTACACCAATAGCAACAAGTTGCTCACCAGTGTTATTTTCTTATGTAGGTAGGAGTTATGAAGCCATCGTTTAGTACCTAAGTTTATATTTTAGGCACACAAATATTAGATTAACATGCAGTTATTCTTTATTCATTACTAGCTTTTGCCCGCGACTCCTTTCGCGTGGAATAGTGACTTCCTGCAGATTTTTACTAAAATCTATCCTATGTCCTTTCTCGAGTTCCACAGTAGGTTGCGGGGCGCTGATTGCTTACCATCAAGTTTTCAGAATGCACGTTTGTCGCCTTATCACATAATATGCTAGTCATAGTTATCCATTTATCATAATACTCATGTTCCTATATTTTCATTCGACATACGCATGTAAGAACAAATAAAACCAAGTAAGTACTTTAAAATAATAATTTGAGTTGTGAAACTACACAAAATTGAGATTCTCCACAAACTCAGTAATTGGCTTGGCTGCAATCAGATCTGCACTTGAACGGTTTGTTAGTCTGAGCACCTAATAAAAGTTGTTCGGATCTGAGGTGAGAAGCCTTAAAGAAGTTTCGCTAGTTGATTATTTTTGTAGTTCTTCAACTATTCAACCGCAGAAGAGTCACTAGTTTCTTAAGTTTTTATTAATAACTGCTTGCGTCTTCCGTACTTGTGATCCTTTATCCGATAGAGAAGATGTCTATAGTTTATTCTACACGTTTTATTGGTAAGTATGTAAGTATGTTTATGATGTAGACTAATGAAAAAAAAAATTGAGAAAATAATTTTCGACTGTCTGACTTGAAATTCTCGACATTCGTTTAGTTTGCATCAAAATTATTGCTAAACTTTACGCATGAATGATTTAGTGTTTAGTGTTTTTGTGAGCCACTAGTATACTGAGCCATAAACTTTGTATTATTTAACTAAAGCATAAGTATTGTTAATAAAAATACAGGATGATATTTTGACAACCCCACAAACTGTATATTTATAGGAATCTACTTTTTAGATTTACAAATGACTTGATTACGTTAGACGCCCTTCCCATTTTACGGGGCTTCTTAGGATATGGGCTATTACATAATATACCTACCTATTACTTACAATTAATATTTACCTTTGTCTAACATCACGTTCCTGAAATTTCTAAAGTAGCATCATTGGCCTTCTACTAAATACTACAATGATTAATAAAAGAGTTAGTATCACTAACTTTTCATTGCTCTCTTATATTACAATCTTATATCTTTGTACTTACTTCATCCACCCATAAGATCGGGACTAAGGAGGTACGGAAGGCTTGTGTGGCGGGTATACCGCTGACGGGCCTCGAGAATATGTTGAACTGCGCCCTCTTTGCACCTCTGATCGGAGTGCCAGTGTTCTGCAAATAAATAATAGCTTTAATATAATATATTGTCGGATAGTACTTAGAATAGGTCATTTAAAAATTCTTGTAATAATATGTTTAGTCAGTAATAGTCTGTAACTCTATTTCGTCCATCCCAAGGCGAAGAAGAAGAAGTCATTTGAAAAAGTAATTTGATCATTTTCTCCTCTGAAAAAACCTTATGTTATGTTCTCTTTTCTAATGCACCTAAGTGATCTATGTTGGAGTCCTAGGATTCAAATAGTATACAATTAAAAAATGTTCTATAATAATATAGTTGTCTCTGCACACCAATTGTGAACTAGAAGAAAGCTCACAAAGTCATGTGAAAAATCAAATATATTCGCTTCAATATTTTCCTAGCTGGGCGGAGTTTCTATTCGACACATTTAAAAAGAGGTCAGGTTGAGGACCTGCGGTGCGGTTTCACTTACGTTCTTTACAAGGTACGGAGCCAAAAACCGCAGAATTCCAACACATTTCCAAAGAACAATATTATTTTAGAAACTCTATTTTTGTTCTATCAGAGATACATATAATTTGATTACGTGGTCCTAATAGAAAGTCTATTATTTTAAACTTTAAATATTCACGAACAATCTTCACCAAATAACAATATGGTAGTTTCCAACTAATCAAATTCAATGCTTTTATCCAAATAATTTTCTATGAAAAACGGACGTCATAACATTTTTGCGTCAAATAGCTTACTTATTTCTTAACAATTATTTAAAAAATCGATCGATCGATGAATAAAAGTATAGTTGTTTTTGTATATCGAATTGTATCGAAACGTCGAATTCATTTATTTTAGACCTAACAAGCTACACTACCCAATTAAATGTTCATCTTAATGAAAAACGAAACTAAATCAAAAATAGAAAATGTTTTTCTATTCAATTTCCAGTTCCACCTAGTTAATTAGCGCGGGTACCTGTCTCTGTTTACCGACTGGGGAGGAAATAGCTAGTTGTACATCGCGAGGACTTTAGCCTAAGGCCTAAGCTGGCAAATGCATTTATTATACAAAAGGCCAGTAGGAAAATTGCAGCTTTCTGTTCAAAGAAATTAATTTACTGTCATTCCCACGTTGTCACAAAGATAATAACTGTAATTTTTATAAAGGCAATACAAAAACTTCCTTTCATAATATCTAAAAGGAATATTTTCATAATAGTTTATGAATCATTAAGATTTTATGTAAAACGTAACTTTAACTTCGGCTTGATTTCCCCTGAGCGGATTGGGTGAGAATTTTGTGCATACAACGCCAGTTACGTGTTATCTTACATAACTAATAAAACAGTCGTTATTTTCAATAAATTAAGGAGATATTACTGATTTATTCACGTGACACGGTGGCGCCGCGACGCGCACGCTACTCATTAATAAGAGTTCCGTCGTGACTTGAAACTAGTTGAGCTTTTCTCGATTAACTTACGCGAATAAGTCGTTTCATTATTATACAAAGGAGACGGCTTATGTTAGTACCTATTCAATGTCAATATACAATTTTTATTAAGACGTTAAGTTTGTAGGAGAGGGGAAGCTCCCCGTGCCGTGTGCGGTTTGAAACGGAATTATTTATCGTACATAATGGAGACTAACTTCAGTCTTGGCCGACATCACTTTGAAAAGTGCAGCATGTATATCTGGAAGGTTCAGTTGAATAATGCACGCAGTAATGTGTATCGATCGGCTGGGTAGCCTCGCTGGGCAGTCGTTAGTGTAACTGCTAATCGATCATGCTATCGGGTGGAGTATTATAATGTCCCATGACGTCCAACTGCCATCCAAGGTCCAACTTGGAAGTGTAACGAAGTCACGACATCTGTCTTCATGCCTTAATGATCGTGTTTCGAGGCAGCCTAGCTCTCTATTTCAGGCTATTCTACTTTATTATGTATGACTGCATTTTTCATACACTGAATGACATCGTTTAGGGTTGACAATAGGGTTGCCCCATACGAGTATTATGTACCCTGATAGATGACGAAAAATTGCTGTCCTAGGTCTTAAGGCCATTCCATAATGGAATATTCAATAGCAATAATAAGAACGGCAAATATGGTTGGTATCCCTGCCAGACTGTATCGGTTGAAAGTTCGGATTAAATAAAAACTATGATGAACAAATTTATTTTTTATTTTGTTTCTTTAGGTTACATTTCTTTCTAAACATTGCTAGACTATCGTTAGACTCGACGCTATCGAAAACATACTACCGATACAGTCATGCAACGCCGTGTATTAATAACAAAAGACTAAGGAATAAGCACTTTAGTTTTGCAAAAACATACTATATCAGTTTATAACATAGTTTTTTATTGCCGAATTAATTTTAGAAATCAGTGCAATGCCACAAACTCACAAAGGTTACCATTTTATTAGCATATATTAATTTCGAATCAATATTTAACAGCTAAACGAAGTAATTTGAGAGCATGAGACCACTCATGATAGCGACAGTTATGACAGGGGTGGATGGCGATAATCAAATGAGATTCGCTGATGGTCGGCGCTTGAGTCTTAATTGAGTATCGAGCTGATCGACCCCGCTTATATACGGGTAATATTTTGATAGAACAAGCTCTTTTAGATGGGGTTCTTGTCAAACATGGTAGTCACTGCAGAGGGATAATAGTCAATTATGTATAGTTAATGATTATAGTATAAATTACATTAACTATTTAGCTAAAAGCTTTAAAAATTTAAAAATTTAGCTAAAAGAAGATTCATTATCGTCATTATCAGCCTGTGCCCACTGCTGAGCAAAGGCCTCTTCTCATACAGAGAAGGTTAGAGCTTTAATCACCACGCTTGCTCAATGCGGGTTGGCGATTTCAAACTTATAATTAGAAATTATAAGACCAGGTTTCCTCACGATGTTTACCTTCACCGTATGTCAGTGGTATCTAAATAATCATAGAAAGTACCTACATATGACTCGGAAAAAGTCACATTGGTACTTGCCAGATTACGAACCCATTGTATCGTGCATGAGAAGCGGGCTCCTTAACCTCCAGGCCACGACGACGTCAAAAGAAGATTACTTAATTGAAAAAAATGTTCAGACGCATAACAGTAGAAACTCCTCCTACAAGTATTTCCGTAGCTTAAGTCAGATTGAAGATCTATTACAATAGAATTGCATATTTATCATATTTATCATCAAGTTAGCCTTTTAACATACACTAACTAGGTTCTGAAGTGTCAATGGTGTAAAAGTGTGAGTTTATCTATACTTCAGTTACAGTAAAACGATAAGAAGAGACATAAGAAATAAAGGTGTGATCACAGCTGCTGGTATAGCCACAGTTAGTATAAGTAATATTGTAACAATTGCAATCCAAACTAATATTATAAATGCGAAAGTAACTCTGTCTGTCTTTTCTTCACGCCTAAAATACTAAAACAATTTGTGTGAAATTTGGTACAGACATAGTTTGGAACTCGAGAACCAAAATTCTGCAGAAGTCAACATATCACGCGGGCGAAGTTGCGGGAACAAGCTAGTCATCAATAAATACCAAACATGGGTTTTATCTGTGCTGACCTTCCATAGACAGTCTTCATCTCCGAGAGCATAGACTCCACCTTTATTAATAACCGCAGATCAATTGAAATCAAAACTATTCAAATAATTTAATTAAAACAATCCGGTCTATTAGTGGGATCTAGAGGAAGGAGTGACCTCTCGCCGGCTGTGATATCGGCGCGCGACGGCGGGCGCCTTCGAAATTAATATAAGCGTTCCATTACCTTAGTGCGGAAATACATACTCCACCGATTTTATAATGACTTAAGAGTAATATTATTGGAACAGCAGGATATAGTAATTTAATATGAGCAAACATTTTTATTTATTGCATGGGTTTCCTTTTGGTTCTTAAAGAATGTCTATACAAATATGTGAAATCAACATCGTAAAGACTAGGATATTTTTTTAAAGTATTTAGTTAGTGCATCTAAGAGTTTAGTGATTATGTTTGACACAGTTAACAAAATGTTATAATTCTTCTGTTACTCAATTATCTCAGTGGAGCGTTTTGGTTTTAGCAATTTGTTTGCCCATCATATATGTTTTCTTCGCGTCTTTTCCAATGTCAATGTCAAAATTATTCATAACATAAACCATAATATATAATTTGAATTTCGAAACGTCAAAATATAATAAAATTCTGTCAGTCTAGCTACGATGCTAAGTGCTCGTTCCAAAGTGTAAATTCGAATTTAGAAGAACGAACAAGTAACTCCACCGCTACTTTTTTTATTGTAATTGTAATTTTAGTTTCGAGTTTGGTCCTAATAATAAAAAAACCGTAAAGTGGCCCCCTGATCGTTCAAATTTAAACCGCCCGTTTACGCATCATGGCTTATATTTTCGTTTACATTTATTTTGCTAAGCATATATGCTTGTAACTATGAAATCATCAAAAATATCCGATACCAACCAAAATTACTTCATTCTAGCCAAATAGGTAAAATTTGTTATCATAAATCCTATTCATAATGTAACTCACTTTAGGAAGTTTATATTACAATAAAAAAAAACGTTGCCGACCCGGAACAGCTATCTGTAGATCACATCGTTAAACAGAGGTCATAGTAAAAATCTCTCACTACTCGGCCTAAGTAAAGTTGCGGTTGAGATGAATTTTGATGTCTCCGTTGTGTTAGTCTCCGAAGTAAATCTGACACATTAATTGAAGCTGTGACAACTTAATTTCACTTCTTATGAATATAGCGTGAAGGTATTTATGAGAAACAATAACTCATTGTCTACCGAATTACGTATTTAAGTACTTCATTAACTACAAAATAATAGGTACTGCAACTTTCGTGAAAATTAGAAAATATAAAGTGTTGTGTTGACTATTTTTGGTTGGTTACAATTGATGCTTCGTGATGATGAGTAATTTTTATGCTCATCAAATATCTAAATAATTCTATACAACCTATCAAGTGCTTCTTAAATTATGCCTGAACATATGTACATATGTAAGGTTTTCCCATTGCAACCGAACGTACAACATGTTCAACTAATTGTTATCTAAAAATATTAAATGTTCAGTTATGACCTACCTACCAATTTTAAATTTGAAAAAAACTACGCCTAATGCAGCAAGATACATATACCACAAGACACGTGTTAACTAAAACAGTAGAATCAATGAATGAAGGGCAAAAATGATGGCAGTAATATATGTAGGTCAAGGTAGACGAAGCCGATCGTTTTTGAGGGGCTGCGAGATCGGGATAAGGGGTGAGAGAGACCCGGACCCCTCCCCATGTCTGGCAACGTACAGACGAGCCGACGAGACCCTTTTCCCTAACATTGACGGTCAAGGTCAAACTCCTGTTTGTTTGCAAATAAAGGAGCTTCGCAGAGAGCTTATCAGTACTAAGTATATTGTGCTAATTACTTTATGACTATATTACTGGTGCAGCAGTATTATTACAAATTTAAAAACATGTTTTGTATCTTTATGCCCTATGCGTAGTCCATTTAGTGCTTTTTTTGCGTAATGGGTCGCCTAACGAGCAGACGGATTACCTGATGGTAAGCAATAAGCACCGCCCATGGACATGAACATGGACACCTGCAATGAAGGAGTTATGAGGGCGTTGATGACCTTTCAGGAATTAGGGATTTGGAGATTTAGGGACTGGGGAGGAATTGGGGAAGGGGAAGGATTGGGGCTCCGGTAACCTTACTCACACGGCAAACACAACGCTGTGGTTGTTTCAGGCCGGTTTTCTGTGAGGCCATCAGGCACGAATGGGTCGGCTCGACCGGAATGATACCACTCATTCCGGTCGAGCCGACCCATTCGTGCCGAAGCATAGCTCCCCCACACTGCTACAGCAGTTTTCATCCCGGCCCTATCAGTATAATAGTACTCACGTGGTTACTAACTACAGAAGCACACAGGCCATATTTCTAAACGTCGGCAGGTAGGTACTGGAAATGGGAAAACAATAACACGGCCCTAGAATTTAAATTGTTTGTACTTGTTTGACCGTTGACGCAGTGTTAGTGGTATTCAAAGTACATAAAAAAGCTTCGACCTCTGTTATGACCTTGTAACATTTGTAAATAAATACAAATAATAATATATAAGTAATATAATACATACCGGTTCTATGTCCACAAATATCTTATGTATGTCTTCGTCCGGCCACATCCCGACCACACCGTCTCGGTACAGGTCGTCGGCGAACAGGAAGTGCGGGTATGACATCACAAGGAAAGCACCTTAAACAAGTAATATAGCTATCGTGAACATCATTTCAGAAATTAATGTACCATACACATCCAAACTAATATTATAAATGCGAAAGAAACTTTGTCTGTCTGTCTGTCTTTTCTTCACGCCTAAACTACTGAACCGATTTCTCTAAATTTTTGTACAGACATAGTTTGAAACTCAAGAAAGGACATAGGATAGTTTTTATACCAAAAATCTGCAGGAAGTCACTATTCCACGCGAACGGAGTCGCGGGCGAAAGCTAATTGTGAAATATATAAAAAAATACGCATCGAATTGAGAACCTCCTCCTTTTTTGAAGTCGGTTAATAATTAGTTTACATTTATAAAATAATATTATAAAGCTGAAGAGTTTGTTTGAAAGCGCTAATCTCAGGAAATGGTTCGTATTTGAAAAAATATTTTTTGTGTTTTATAGACCATTTATTGAGGAACGCTTTGGCTTTGAAACATCACGCTACGATCTGTAGTAGCCGAGCATGCGGGTGAAACTGCGCGAGAGGAGCTAGTGAACTCATAAGAACGTAGCGTTCTCTTTCTTAAAGGCTGCTCCTTTTATGTAGCTATTTCCATTGTTGTTGTTTGTGAGAAAATTACAATACAGAAGTAGCGTCTTTCGTCGAATTCGGTAAGTATGTGATATAAATTATAGGAGCTCAGCATAGGCATACTAATATTTCTCAAAAAACTGCTTTAGCAGGGCAGGCTTATCGAGGTTGAGGTGTGTACGTGACTAAATGAATCCAGAATATTATAATATACAAATTAAGGCTTACCCAAGACAACAACCATTGGTAGCTTTTTTTTGTGTACCTAATTATAATAGTGCTATTGATATAATAAAATGTCAGAAATTGATTTGATACATTGGGAATAAATGGCAAGGCAATTGGGTATTGGTAAGAAATACTGTAATGTAATAGAAATAATGAAATAGCTTACATAAACAATTTCATGCGACAATAAACTTAATCGTACTAATTAAAGAAGACAATGTCCATTCTTTGCCCCACACTAGGATTTTCTCCTGTGTTGTGGGCGCGTTTACAAACATACAATTTCACATACACATCACACCCTTCAAAATTTCACCATCAAAATGTTTGATAATAACGACTAGACGACGGAAAATAACCGAGAAAATATGTTCAACTCACAACGAGTGGATTCACGAGTAGCCCAGTCAACAGAAATAAATAAAATATAATTCTTCTCAACCATGTCAAGTGGGTTTTGGCAGGCATTATTTTCAAATAAATTAAGAAAATATTATTATGTTTTTTTTTGTACGGTTTCATGTACGTATTTTAAGAATAAGGTAAAGAAGCCATTAGAAAAACATAGTCAACAAAATAATCATATTTTTACTTGTTTACTCGAAAAAGACGATATAAGGTCAAGTGAATGATGTCCTTTAATAAATTTTTACTAAGCAAAATCTAAATATTTAAATACAAAATAAACATTACTTTATCTATTTTATTAAACATATGAAATAAAATTTATTATTAATAACACTGTATTAATAAAACGCAATAAGAACAAGATGGCCGATGATCATAACACTCAAATTAATAAGTTTTGAAACATATTATTTATTTATAATAGTGCTAAATAAAAAATAAAAACCTTAAAGGATCATTTTCATCAAATACGCATAAACAAAACAGATTTTTTTGCCTATTTTGATTTAATCCGCTTAGGGTGTAATTTTATACCGTTGTGAAGTCGTGAAGTGAAGTGGGTGTGTTGTAAAGTCTGCATAGATATTTTTTTTCTTTGCCGGCAAACGAGCAGACGGATTGCCCGATGGACGCCCATGGACACCAAAAGAGTTACGAGTGCGTTGGCGGCCTTTTAAGGATAAGAGTTTCAGATATGTAGGAATTGGGAAGAGAGGTGGGGGAGGGGAGGGATTGGGCTCCGGTAACCTCACTCACACGGTGAAACACAACGCTGTGGTTGTTTCACGCCGGTTTTCTGTGAGGCCGTGGTGTCACTCCGGTCCGAACCGTTTAGCTATGCCGAAGCTCGGCTCTCCCAATCTTAAAATTAACTACGTATTAGGTGTGGAGGTGGGAAAATTAGATTTTTTTAGACACAGAACTAGATATACATTAATATTAGAAAAAGTGAATGCTTATTTCCTTTCCTGTCTATCGCAAACCGTGCGGACTGTGACAGAACGATGAATAAATAAAGTATGAAATACAAACATAAGTTTAAATATACATTTATATTTATTTATTAGTTGATCAAAAAGGGACTTTTTACGTTTTACGATACAGTATGAGCTTGACACTACCTCTCTAGGTAAAAGCTAGGTGAGGCCCCACCGGCGGGCGAAGTAACTTGAAGATCTTGAAGACACATACGATTATAATATTAGTAGGATACATTCTTAACGTTATGAATAAAAATAAAATAGAAAAGAAATTCGTACTCTTTTTCGTGTCCCTATTTTAATTGTTTTTCTTTGCTAATCAGTTATTCGGTGAATGCGGTTACGTGTGGCATCGACATGTCGGTACAAAAAGCAGCGGGTGGGGGGAGGGGAGGAGACCCCAATCGATGCATCATTGAAAAGGGCTCGTTGCTCGTGCACATTTCTCCCCATGCAAATAGAAGGGTTGTGTTGCCTCCAATTAATCTATTTTTTACTAAAACCTTTATAAATGTCAAAAGTGAGACCACGCTTAGAAATTCTTGCATGATACAGATACCCTAAGTACGGTAATTTCCTGCACGAATGATCAGCGCATTTTATTATGGTATTTACCCCACCTTATTTGATTATCAATACGTTTTTTTTTTCACTAATCTCCACTTGTTTTTATCCTTGGCCGCATGAATAGCACCTTGTAAGCTGGCATAAACTTACAATAAAAGCCAGGTGTAATACCTACACAATGGATAATCATTAGATTTCTATTTACATTAGTAAAGCAAGTCCTTTACTCATTGACAACAATTTTAATGAATCAATTAGAGGCCAGAAGAAGCCTATCGCATTACAAACACTTCCTACCAAACGAGTTGGACATTATCACAAATCATGAACATTAGTCATGTGTTAATAGCATCTTAATATACTTATTTATATATTCAAAAGGTTAGATGCATTAAGGTAAATACATAATCAACAATCCCTGAGTGACACTGTATTAGTTGTTTTAAGTGAGCACGGCGCGCCGCGACGCGATACATGAAGTTCCATCTTAGTTTTAATTAACTCTCTGCTATAAAGTTAACCTGTTCGTTAACTATAACGTTTGTCTGCACGGCAACTTGTGTTGCATGTGTAGTTACAGGCGTTGCATAGTCACTTCAATTGTAAAATGTATTAAATAAGAAACTTTCCAAGCTTTCCTGTCCCTATCTCACTTAGATTCTTAGACTTATAACGTCACGTTAGTTTTAATGATGTGCCGCTCGTGGACGAGATTTCATCTCCTTTTACATTATAAACTCATCATAGTTCAGTGCAATAATGCCACATCTTTGGCTCGGAACATGAGGAGAAGCGTGGTAGTTTTAAGCCAGTAAGAGTCTGACCTCTAGCTCAGTTGTTGAAGAAGGTCCAAAGTAGTGGTTAGCATGTGGCTTAGCGCAATTTTATCACCAAAATTCTAAATTGATATGTTTAAAGTTCGATCTTAACAACTTAAAAGGAACATTAGAATCATACGTTCCTTTTTACTTAAATTATGTAGATTCAGAACAACATGAATAAAACAATTAATTAGTTCCAGCCGTAACATGAGTTTAAAACTTGCAAGCTTATTATTTCGCGCAGTTATTCCGATATTCATTTACACGGTGCGCGGTGGTGTGGACTCGAAGCCGTGGTAACAAATTAGTGAAACTTCCTGCAAACAGATCGTGTGTTGCAATTAATTCGTGTTCATACGATGCATAACAAGTGCACCTAAACCAACAGGCACGGATTATGAATTCGAGTACATGACACGACCAAAACGCAGTGTTGCTCATTTCATAAAATGTTCTAAGTAGTTGCATTTTATGAAGTGGCCAACTTAATCCTACCATATCATTAAATTCTCTACGTACCACGATCGTGCAGGCAAGCTACTAGCACTACACTATGACTAAACAGATACCACTTCCTTATAAGGCTGATGTTCAGTCGGGGTTGCAGAGTAAGCGCGGGAGAAGTCACTTGACCAAAAAACAGACACCACTTAAGTCGAATCATTTGAAAACTATTGTTACGATATGATCAAATAATCAAAATCAAAAGGAATGATTGGGCCTCCGGCAACCTTAATCACACGTTGTGACTGTAACACGTCGGTTTTTCGTGAAGCCGTGGTATCACTCCGGTCATTCGTGCGAAGCTTGGCTTTCCTACACTTAAGCTTAATCGTGATGTGACAATAGACAGTCACACATTTTATGAAATGTACCCCAATATAATGATCACGTCATACACATTAAACAGCATTGAAACAATAAATGTTCAAAGTTCTCCAAAACTATTTCCCGAAAAAAACTAAAATGCTTCGTGGAATTTTTCCTAAACGGAACCAGAATTAAATAACAAACAAATGTTCGGGCTCAATGCACTGATGCATTATTAATTAAAGCCCTCTCGCGCATTCCGCGTCACTCAATTAGTTGATCCAAATTGATTGAGTACGCAGGTGTGTTAGAGAGTGCAGTCAGTGGGCCGAAAGTAATTATGTTTTTCCCGTTAATAAAGGTTTTTACTATTGGTCTAGTAATTAATATTGCATTCGAAACAATCAATAACTCAGGACTCGCCTGTGTAATTGAATTTCATTCCATTTCGCGCATATTAACTCATCCCTTTTATTGCATTCCTGTACTTATGTCCCGTCTATCGAGGTGTGCTGTAGGGGCGGCCAGTTTATTATCTCTGATATGTGTGAGAATGGTTCCGTTTCAAAACGATTTTGTTTAATGAGAGTTCTCCCTTAGATGTTTATGTTATGTTTTTATTAAT